GTTGAAATAAAACCACTTACGATTCTCCATAGATTATTTCCCCTAATGTTTCAAACATCTAGTAAAGGAGAAGTTAACAATAGCTTTAGACATGTATAAAATTCTCTAATCTTATATCTTCAGTATATAGTTAAAATTCAAACCCTGAAAAGTATACAAAATGAATTGTTACCTTTATTATGCTTGTTTAAAACGAAAAGAGGTTTGTTTACAGTGGTAAAAATTGTCTCCCTCTCACATTTTCGCCCTTATATATCTTTCTAAAGTTTTTATTATTAACTAGAATACAATTTACTTATAATAAATAAAGGAAGAAAATCTGTTGCCATTTATTTAAGGTTTAGGACAGTTTAACTGGACTATAGTGTGTGTCACATTTGTGAAAAGTTGATGCCGCACAAAAAAATAATCATTAAAAAAAGAAAAGGCACAGTTTCCGAATTTCATTTTTAACACTTATTCCTATTTCCCTTCGATTAAATTATTTACCTCTATCTGTGAAGGTGTTAAATCACGAATATGTTAAATGAAATTTGAAAAAGATCTTTGGAAAAATAAATAATGTAATCTATTAACTCTTTCTTTTGAAGGATCCTATCGCAAACAAAGAGAGAGAATGACTTTTCTACAACAATGTATGTTTTCTATTGAATTTGTCCTAGTACCGCTCTGAAATGGAATATATATTTGTAACAAACGTTCTTGATGTTATGAAAGTGGCGCATGAGATACACATGTACTTTTTACGGTCGATCCTTCTGCGAAGAATCAGACAGAGGAAGAGCATAAAGAGATTGACGAGATCATGAGAAGACGCATCGCAAAGGAAGTTGAGTTAATACATTCCCTACGCGATATCTAAAAAAATTCAGATGATAACCCTGAACGTATTGTTAATGATTTTTTTCTTTGGCAATGATAAAGCTATCAACAGAGCTCCCCCCTTTCCATCCCAACAAATGCCAGCGTTATAAATGTTGGGTCATTTATAAACATATTAATTACTCCCTATTTTTGGGTTATATGATGTGCCTTTTTTTATTTTCTTTGATTTTAGATTTTTTACCCCCGCTTTCAAGAACAGTGGTACATGTAGGGTATACATGTATAGTGATTGGGATGTCCGTCAGTCGGCGCTTTTGGGGGTACCTCTCTTTTATGTATATAAAATATGTTTCATTGAATTTCACTCAATGGTATAAGAGGAGTTGCAGTTAAGAGATGAGTTCCCTAAAGCGTAACAGACAAACGTTTAGCTACTTGTAGACGAACGGACATACATACCTATTACTATATACCCTCATAATTTTCAAGCGGGGTTATGAAGGCAAAAAAGAAATTATAAACAAAACACCCCCCCCCCCAAAAAAAATACACGATTTTCGGGAATGGATCCCAGAATTTTTAAGTACTATTAGGTAATACTGTCTAACGGGCATAATGTTCGAAAAACTTGTAGAAATAAATTTACTGAATTGAAATATTGTGTACCTTTAGTGTATGATTTAGATGGTTTATCAACGTTATTTAAGCTATGGCAGTCTGTGCGTTTTGTTTTCAAAACATTGATGTTGGCTGTAAACGATTGTTCAACGATTAGAGTCGAGTGGAGATCAACAGAGAATAGGAAAGGATTGTCTGTTGTTTTAAATCAAAGTCTTTATATAAACTTGTTCATATGTATGCATAATAATACGCGCTGATAATGAGTGACACCCCATCCCCTCCCCACTTCTTTATATTTTTCTATTTAAAGACCCAATTTTTTTACCGTACGGTTACCTGAGGAGGGGGAGTGGTCAAAGTAACATTGGTGTTATTTACCTGGAGACCCCCAATACCCAAGATGTCAAAAATCTATATACACGTAGCATTACACAGGAAGTCTGTGTCTGGTATCAGGGTCAACATTCCGTGTTTCGTGTCTTAATTTGAGTGAGACTACTTGAAATAATTGAAATATTTCAATATAAAATTTATTTATAAATACTTTCAGCGATATCTAATGAAGAAAAAAAATTATAAAGAAATGTTTTTATATTTGAAAAAATAAAAAATTAAAGAAAAGATCATAGAGTAAAACTACAAGGTAAACATATCTTTTTTTAATTAAACTTATGTAAATATCAAATTAAAAAAAGATAAAATATTCCATTCATATGTAGGCCTATCCGTCGTGTGAACATATACAGTGTACCGTACCGCGATAGGAATATAATTGCCTACGTTCTGATCAACAATAGTGTCGAAAATATTCATCATTTCCGGGTGTTCGTGTGTTTAAAATTTATTATTGTTTGCAAGATTTTTTTTTTTACTTTTAAGAATTGATCTTTGGCTGTATATATTCATTTTAAATTTCGAATATTGGGTATTGACAGATGTTAGGAAATTCGAACTAAAAGTTACAATCTCGAAATTCGACAGCTGTTTCTGACATTTCAGAATTTTACAACAGGACACGATATAGATTGTATTCATATATAAGTAGGTAAAACATCGGATAAAGGAATTTTTTATCCGTGCCGTTTGTGCTAAATATCTTTTCCTATTTATCATATATTCCAATTTTAATCGGCAAATAACCTTTCTCAACTTTTTGTGCACGGACACGTCTAAATTCTACAGCAGATAATATCTTGGACGACATATCGCCTAAAATACAATATAGCCGTTGATATTAAAAGCAAATTTTATTTTATGAATTCATGTTTTATTTATCTACTCTCAATTGTTTTTAAAACAAAATTTTACCAAGATTCTTTTTTTAACCACCGTGTATACAAGGCGGCTACATGAAAGTGTTTGACGCGTGACCAGGCAATCGTTTTCAGAGGACACAAACTCAGACTATCAGGTAGCACGGGAAGCTGGCCTGTCAATCAAATCAGAAGCTATTGTGTTTTTAATGATTGACAGGCGGTAAATTATTGATCTTGAATCAGGTAGATTTTTGGGGCGTTAACATAAAATTGGGTGTTTAAATGATCAAATATAAATTCAAATAATCGTAATGCAAAATAACAAATCATTTACATTTTAAATATATCAAAACTCACTTCACGCCCCTTTTCTTTCTTTAACCTTTTTATAAGCTACATATTGACACACTTTTGCATTTCTTTTATTAATATGCGAAAACCGATGCTATTTGTAATTTGTGGTCATCCTCAGTACGGCTTGCCTTTTTTACGAATTAGATTTGCCATTCCTGGATTACCATTTAAGGCGAGATTGTGTCACTAACTTAAGTTTTTTGAAAGTTGTTTTAATGAAAAATTATTTTAAATTATACGAAACAGATGGCATGTAGTAGGTGACTATACAACTATACTCAGACAAACATTGATAAAGAATAGACAATTAATTTTCTTAATTTTCTTTACCATATCTCTTTAATATAAATGTTTATAATGTACATTTGATATTCAGTGACAATAATATTTTTTGAACTAATAATCATCATAGACGGACGTTGACATCTTTTAAATTCAGATCGGTTATGTAACATTTTCACTAAGATGATATTTGACTGGACACTCCACTCATCTTCCTAGCCCTGATGAATGTCAATTTTTAACAACATTTCTTTCTCGTGGCATATTTAATGTATTATTTCATGGATTATTTGGTTAAACTTCTTTTATATCTTAAAAATATTTTGTCTAGTTTAGTTTAAGAAGTATTTTATTCATAATATACAAAGTATACAATATGAATATGGATTGAACAGCAGGCCAAGGGCCTATATTAGTTCTCTCCATTTGAGATCAAGGTACAATTAAATTACTGTATATATCTAAAGTAATATTTTGTCTGCTACATGTACATTCGTTTTAGCAAAAATAATATTTTAAAAGCAATTTTATGTCTTATTAATGTCTAAATTAATTACTGAAAAGGTTCTAATCCAGCAAAATTCATCGACTATTTGCAACGGCAGGGAAAAGCGGTGTCTCTCGTCCCCCAAAAATGTACGACTATGCGTGTTTTTTATTTCTTAAATAACGGCTTCATGTAATATGTTAAAATTGCCACCACTTTTCTGTTTAAAGAAAAAGGTAATTTCAATTATTATTTCATTATCTAAAGTTCCTTGTAAACTACACGTCCATTATGAAGGAGACGCTCGTTTTAATTAGAGGTACATGTATAAATCTATGTAAATTAATCCTCTAAACCATACCAACTTTTGTCGTTATTACTATTTTTCACTGTATATATTGATTGAAAATTTTTCATATGAACTATTTTATGATATAAAATTATATTTTTGAAAAAAAAAAATTTCCCATTATATCACAAATATAATATTTTTATCCATATGCCCTGAAAAACTGCCGAATAACGCCGGATATAGTTATATTCCACCGGAAACATTTATATTGCCCGTCCAAACACTGTTATGTTCCATCACATGCAATCATTCTGCATATTAAATACTTCGGGTTCGAAATTCACGGAGGCAGTTGCTAAGCAACTGGAAACAGTTCCGCGAAAATTAAAAAGTTGGAACAAGGTTTGCAATCTATTTATTTGAATTCAGAGGAATGAGAGTATTTAATTGAAGAGAAAAATTCTTTAAATACAACAAAGGTTATCAACACAAGTGTCAGCATGCTAAAACATTCTGCCATGAAACGGGATATTCCGGAGTATTTCGATTGATGTGTTCTTTTCCTGGCAAGTATTCCTTTTAGATGAATTATAGTTATATAATAACGAAGTGTATAATTCTAAAATAACCAGTAATGAGAAGTTTTCTGCTGCAGTTAACTTAAGAAATAAGAACAACGGAATTCCGGCAATTTTAGCCTTGGCAGCTTCAAATAGTTTGATATATGAACATACTAATGACTGTATGTATTGATGTTTGATTTAGACAACCAAACATAGGAAGACAAAAAAAAAATGACAACATACACTGTGTTAGCATGTTTTGGTGTTATTTTATTTCTACAATGAATAGATCAAATACATCGTGAAAATGTTATCCTTAACCAATATACTCATAGAAACTTATTATAACGCCCATAAGACTACTTCTTATATCATATAAATAGATTTTAAACGTTTCAGAAAAGGCTCGTTAATTTTGTTCTTCCTGCCCTTCCTAGCTCGCATTTTATTATTAAAACTCTAGGCTGTAGCTGCACTAACGATATTGTATTGTTGAAAGAACAGTTTAACACTTGAATGAACACTTGTTGCTTGTTAGATGTATCAGGATTTATTCTGAGGTACATCATGTATAGTGTGTGAGATTGTTCCTATTTATCTCAAACCTTAAGTAAAGTAGTGTTCATAAGTTTCATTCTTGTTTCCTTTTTTGGTTTTGGTTAACCACATTTACAAGGTTTTTCTCATCAAAGTTTTTGGCGATTGCTGTTGTATGAAATCTAGTTCATATCATAAATCGTGTTCATTAGATTTATGTTCAGTGCATGGGAAATAGTTGATCAGAAGGTCCCTTTGCAAGTAAGTAACATCATTAAGTAATATCATTGAGGGATTTAATATTCGCTGACATCATCATCATCTGACAGTGATACGCATGAAAAATCAGATGATGAGTAATCAATTTCGTCTGTTGATGATCTTTTTCCTTCCTCTGCGACCGATCCATGCTTCCAAAACATAGAGAGATAGTCCGGATTAATAGTATGGTAATCCTCAACTTGATGTAGCGGGCAAGTCTTCTCATTCCCTGATCCGAGCTCATTTTCCTTTATGAACCTATCCTCTACCTCATCACCAACAATCTGGCTCTTGGAGCATATATATCCAGTTTGATAAGAAAGATGTTTGTGAAATGTGTCAGTAATATTTTGCATGTGTGCGTCTATTTCATTTCTAATTGATAGTGTGACGCTTTTGTCTAATTGGCATGTCTTTCTAACTACTTGAAGCTGGATTGAAGTAGATGTTACATAAATTACAACATCATGTTCTTTATAATTAAACATGGCCGCGTTCTTGTACAGGCATTTTGTACCCTTACTTTTTAGCACTTTCCAGCTTCTTATTTGCAGACAAGCAACAACTAAGCGATAAAACAGAAAATATGGCAAAAACTTAAAGAAATACACTAGAACAGACGTTCTCGCTGATTCCAAGAAAAACTGCTTTTGATGTACCTTTGGATTGAAATCCCTTTTGTTCATGCAGGGGATATAATGAAGATCACCACCAACTGCAATTAACCCGAGACGCTGCATATACAGTAGCATTGAATCTTTATGATGAATTAGAAAACGAGGGTCTTCCTTACAGATAGGCTTATCTGAAAAATTGGCTGTCTGCCAATTTCTGTCCTCCATATCCCAGATATCGACCAGTAGTGTGTCCTGTAGATTACCAGTGCTATAATAGTCCTTCCAGTCCTGTCTATTGGCAATGATCCCCTTAACATGTAGGTTGTCAGTAATAATGGTTTTGAAGGCATTAACAAACCACTGTACGTCAAGAATTATGAAATTTCGAAGTTTTCCTTCTTGAAAAAAGAGAATCCGTCCCGAGTCGTGGTAATATCTTAACATATCACATGCCTGGTTTTCTTTTGATAGAGCTTCAACTGGTAATCTGTCTCTAATATTTGGAAAAGGGACAATTCGATCCATCTTATTTTTATTCATTTCATTGATGAGAAACGTCCATTCGTGTGGTATTTTTTCATTCCATTTTGTCCTACTCGCAATGTCTACAATAAACATTTCCAATTCTTTGATGGGATCGCTTGGTGGAAAGCTCATCAAAAAGCATCGGTCTTCTCTGATGTAGGATGCAAGATCAGATTTGATTGGCAAAACTTCAAGCAAAGAATCAAGAAAATCGGACTTGTCCTACATTATAAATAAGAATTGAAGCATATTTAAAGAGTAGTACGACTTATTTTCATTAAGATGAGAAATATTTCTAAATTACAACATTATCCTTTTTGGCAAATTTACTCCCTTCAAATAAATATAAATATACTTTTATCAATAAATGTACATTAATAAACAATGTATCTTCAAAAAAAAATTCCTATTGCTCGAAGGTTTTTTATTAAAAAGCATCATTATAGTGATGGACTTTAAAAGACAACATGTGTTGTTATAAGGTTGTAGGGATGTGCCGTGTCAAAGGTATGTACTGTTCATTACCTTGTATAATGTATTTTCCCAGTGAGTGGCTATAAGGACAATTTCTGCTCTGTTTTCGTTTACTCCGTTTGGAGAACAGTATGTATGGATGGATTTTAACCAAAATATAAAATATTCTGAAAAAAAGGCAGCAAGATTGGTGCGAGTTATTTTGTGCATAGAACTACAAGCTTGAAACTATGAAACTACGAAACGAAAACAAAGCCCGAGAGAGAGAATATTAACCAAGCTAGAGATGTTTGTAAAACACTTATGCCCCCCTCCCGCCAAATTAGAATTCTTCAAAGTCAAAAGGGCATAACTCTGTCAAAAAGGGCGAGATTTCAACCAAAACAGAACTTGACCAAGATAGTCATTTGATATATCTTTATACCAAATTTCCATTCAGTATGTGAAATCTCTGAAAAAGGATATGAAAGAAAAATGCCAAAAACTGGATATTTTTTCTAATTCCAATTGGCATAACTCTGTCCGAAATTGCGCAATGGTACCCAAATCAGAAGTTCTAGATTAAAGATATGCATCTGATAAATCTGTATACTAAATTTCATCTCAGTATGTGCAACGGTATGAAGAAAATGAACAGAAGCTGCAAATAATTGGAATTTTTCTAAGCCCAAGCTGCATAACTTTGTCAAAAATGAAGCGATCGTACTCAAAACAGAACAAGGCCTATATAATAATGTAATATATCTGTTTACCAAGTTTCATTTCAGTATGTGCAACGGTTGAAAAAAAATTGAACGGAAACTAAGTGGACCGACAGACAGCAGCAAAGCAATATGCCCTTCTTTCTTTGAAGGGAGGGCAGAAAAACCAGATTTGAAATCTTAAAACTTAATTACATTTTACAGGTAAGTTTTGTTAAAAAAATAAATCCTCTATTAACATGTTACACAAAAGATCATTATTCTTACCTCTATACGTCCATCCAGGAAAAAACGTATCTGCCTGGTCACATACACGAAAATCAACTACGTCACTGAGGGCTTTAGAGGCGTCTATCACCAGTAGGTAAAATGCTCTTCTAGTCAAATAAATTTGATGACAAGCATAGTAGGCACACTGGCCGCCAAAGTCAAAGAAACTCACTGTCTTCTCACAGGGAGTTTTATGTGAACCTTCTGTAATGCTGTTTAATACCATTGTTCTACCTAAAAAGAAAGAAAAAGTACTCACAATGGGTATAGCTACAATGTTAAATCAAAAATACATGTAGTTTGGAGATTTCATTTACACTTCATCATTTTTTATGACCAGTGGTTTATGAGACGAAGATTTTTTTTGGAAAAAAGTCACAGAATTTCCACAAACTCCTTTCTTTAGTCAATAGTTTGTAGACGTGCTTCTTCCTGAGATCTAATTTATATCCTTTCACCCAAGTATGCTTTGAAGCAGGTTTTGTTGAAATTGGCCCGGTAATTCTTTCGAGTTAGTCGTAATTTCGAGAAAAAATTGCAGATGACCAATGATAGACTCAGGTGAACCTATGTATCAATGCACATAAATTTCAAATGATAATGTAAGTGTCTATATGGATTTGATACCTTTCAGGGTTTTAGAGTCTTCACAAATTGTGAATATATCCTCGTGAACATCTATTCCCTTTGTTGATGTTACATTAAGTATATCTTCCTCACTACACCGGAGAAGACGTTTCAGTAGCGTTGTCTTTCCAGCCCCGGCACACCCTACGATCATCCCCCGGGCGTGGTGAATGGCCTGGGTTCCTCTCTTTGCGTACTCCACATAACGCTTTCTTGCCTCCTCGTCCCAAGACAGTATTTCCTCAGGGACACCAACTAAAGCAATACACAAAGCAATTACTTATTTTAAGCACTGCTTCTCATTCAAATATATGAGTGAAAAAAACTATTGTATGATTATATACTCACGGCGTCTACTGATCCTACTATGGATCACTTCGTCTGATATCGTGCAGTGTTTAATGATGTCTAGCTGTAGTTTGTCAATGAAAATGTTGTACATTTCGTCCGGAGCGTTTGGCACATAGAGACATCTTTCTCCCTCATTCCTCCTATATCCCCAGGACCTGCAGTATTCTGATACCACATCATGTGACGCCATCGTCAGAAAAAACTCCAGATCACAGTTTTCCACTAGGCACTCCGTCACAAACGCATACATGACGTCATGTTGGATATCATCCGATTGAAACATAATTTTATTGTTCTCTATCTTTAAGGTTCCTTCAGGGGCGTCTGTAGTGTTAATGTCGTAAGACATGACTCCTTCCTGAAAGAATGTGTTTAGTATCTTGTTCTGCATGGTCTTGTAGGAGTTATCATTGGTATTCACAGTGTACCCTTCACTTAACAGTACTGTATATAGCATAGATCTGATGTTCAAGGAATATTCATGATAGTTATCTACAACCATACAAATAAACACAAAATCTTTTAATTTTATCCTGGAAAAGATCTTTGAAAAGGATCCTAGAAAATAGCATTACATTAGTTTTATAGAAAAAAAAAAAGAATCCACGCATGGGCTGAATGGTTTTCTGTTTCTGCCATGATGATATATCAACAAGCAAATTTTGATACGAGTTAAAATTATGAAAACAAAAATAAATTAACATTTGTTTACTCTGAGGAATTTTTCAAATTAACATTTTTAACATTCACTAATTACATTTTTTCCACGGTCCGATTTTATATTTCTAACTGAATTGTAAAAAAGAAGAAACTGCATTTTTTAAATATTTTTTTTGAGGGGGTTTGGGGGGGTTGGTTGACTTGTCGAACAGATCTTTTATATTCTATGAAACGTGTCTATAAAATGAAAGACAAAGTTTACTGAAATTTTCTACAAAAATAATATTACATAGGTTTTTTTCTCTTTTTTTTTTTTTTTTTTTTTTGCTTACAATCTCTCATATTGAATTCAAAATGGGGAAATGCATATTTCCTTACTAAAATATCAAAGCTAGCTTTCGTTTACTAAAGCTTATTATTGTAATAACTTTAAAATTAGGAAAGCTATAATTATCTAAATTGATTAACTTGAAACTTTAACTTGTAGGTCATGGCAGGTGTCAGCAGGGGTTGTTCATTCATTTATGGTACTCTATACTGACTCTGATATTTTGGATATCCGTGTTTCCTGTTTGCCCTGCTCTAAATTTTTATTGTTTATATGGTTCTTTGAGCTTGTATACTGTTTTTTTTTCATTTTCATATACCTGGTATAAATATTCAACAAAAAAAGAAACGCATATTGTTTTACTCGTCAAAGACATTTTTAAAATGTACTTGGAACAACTATCTTTTATATCATTGGATACCTGTGACCTATTTAAAGGACAACATGGGGTTTTAAAACCCAAGTGATCGAATTATCTCCCTTCATTAAACGTGTTATGAAAGTAGTGTTTTTCCTGATTTCTTCTAAATCGGATGTCTATTTTCGTTGATATTTTGGATATAGAGAAACTATTAACACTCCTATTAAACCCATATTTCAGATTTGATTGCAGTGTTGATGCTGCAATGTCACGCCGAAACAAAGATGAACACAAGCAGGCTAACGATGAAACTAAAAGGAGCTAAGCAACAAGAAGTTGCAACTGCATTTGGAATACATCAATGGGCTTTGTAGCCGTTAAACTAATGTCGGAAGACCCCGAATTGGCCGTCCGCAGGTAACCACACCCAGGCAGGACCACCAAACAACCCCCCCCACCCCCCCTTCAGCACCTCGTGCGATTCAGAACTTGCTGTAAAAACTGCTGCTACAATTGCTGGATGAAAAAATCAGCATTAAAGGGCATAAATTGTTCGCAAGAGACTGAGGGAAGATGGTATTCCTCCACCATTCCTTACATTGGAAACCCACTAGCGTTGAGACGTCGCACAGTAAATATTGTTATGCCCCTTGAATTTAGGGGCGATGAAAACGACATCAACTTGACTTTTCAATTTGCAACATAGGATATGTTTGATTTTGATCACAACACACTCTAAAATCGCTTAAATAAAATAAGGTTTAAACTGGAAACTTAGATTTTTATATTATTCTGAATATGCGTTTCTTTTTTGTTGAGTATATATTTTTTTCAATTACCCTACGGAAAATAATGCACATTTCTTAACCAAGATATATAAAAGCTAGCAGTTGAAATGTTACTATAGTTATTACTTTAACATTATAGTTGTCTATAAAGATAAATGATTATCTTGAAACTTTATTTTTGATCTCATTGCAGGTTTGACCGGTCGGCAGGGAATTTTCATTCATAATGGCACCGTTTTCCAACTCTATTTTTTTAGGTATTCGATTACCCTGTTCCTAATTTGTATTGTTTAAATGAATTTTTGTGCTTGAATACTGTCATTTTTTACAGCAAATGTTTCAATATAGTATCAATATAGTGTTAAATAAGAAAACTTTTATTTACAATAACGATTACTCTTAGACTAAGTCAACTGTGTTTTTTTTAGTAGATTAGTATGAAAACTTTAATTTTCTATAGCCATAACTTAACAAACATGAAATATGTGGTATACTATTGTGAAAAATCTGAGAGTATAATTTTTTTTTAAATATATTGATTTTTATTTTTTAAAAAATGATTCACACAAATTATCACTTCGATTTAAACTATTATGGTTCTTGATTTGTTTACATTTTATTATTTCTTAAAAAAAAAAATTTTTTTGTTACGTAGAATTCTCTAAATGTCGTGATTTCTTTCAATATATTAAAGTAACATAAAACAAAATTGCATGTTAAGTTATTGAAATTATTTTAAGTAGATGACATCAGTAAAATTCTATAATATAATGAGATAATCTGCAAAACATTTTAATATCTTTTTTTTCCAGTGAAGTTACTTCTATCACAGAAAATAACATACTGTATCAATGTATGACACTGAATAAATTAAAACTGATTTTAAAAGTATTCATGTCTAAAACTATCATAAATCAAAATGCTAGTAAGTTTGACATTTAAAATTTCACTTTTTAACTTTTACTTATTTTTTAGTTTGACACTTTGATTTAATGTAGTGAAAGCTATAATTGTCATCACATACTAGGCTTCCTGTAAGCTTTGTTGTTTATGATGTAAATGTCCCAGTGTGGATGGAGGCCTATACAGGATCTCACGATGTCGGGTCTCCCGTGTCTCCAGAGCCATGTCACGTGATGTACATCGCCACGAAATCTTCTAATACCCTCCCCTTCTCTCTCAAGGTTGTTTAAAAACTGCCCCCGTTGACTCTGATATCCGCCTGATATAACTTCTGGGATATTTACTATAAATTGATATAAAAAAAGATGATTGATTGATTTGGTATGTGGTTTAACATCCAACTCATATGGATAGGCCATCAATTGCCGTTGAAGAACTGCAAATTTTTACCTATGCTCGGCACTAAGGGGCCAGTAAACAGCGAGGGATCTTTTCGTGCCAGCTCTTACATGTACTACTAGACAGGACCTTGGTTTATACGGGCCCATCTTGTTTGAAGTTCTAACATGGGATTCGAACCCGCTACGTACACATGAAAAGAACAATTCCTGACTTTGGGACTCTAGATCAAACCTTCTAATCATTGCGTTACGCATACGCAGGCGACTAATTTGGAAAGAACTGTCATAACTCATTTAACAAGTATTAACTTATGTGAATACATTTTGATACTTACAAATCTGGAAGACTTTTGTAGTAATATTTTTGTCCTCCATGGTCATGTGTGAAAGAATACTCATTTGTAGGCGGCTTATAAGTAATGGATCATAAATATTGTTGACGCTTATGACACATTTCTCCCCAGTCTTTCTAATGTATCCATTTGTTCTTAAATACACACTAGCTATGTCATAACTACTAATATAGAAAGGTATATAACTATTCATTGATGCTATTCTGTATAAAGTCTCATTCCTTGTGTCTTTGGTAATCTTGTTTTGATCTCCCCATAAGAAATCACGAGTCTCCAGTATTTCAAGGATACTCTTTGCTTCTTTACTTGTTAAAGGCTTATTATTTGGGTGTGCTGTGTGTCGTATCTCATTAAGCATGTCCAGCCACTCTGTGTCAGTGAAGTCAGGAGGACCGGAGTCAGCAGACAGGAAACAGAATAACACGAAGATTTCGTCATCAGGAAATGTGAGGAACTCGTCTAAAATATAAACATGGAATAATAATTATGCAAAAAAGTTTTGAATGCCTTTAGTATTTATTATTTAGTTTGTAATAATACTATTGATATTTACAAAATGTGCAAAAATACATTACTAGAGGGATTGAGATTTCTTGGCCAAATGATTTTAATACAACGATATGATGCCAAAATTATTTGACGTTTCGAGCATTTGTGATTCAATCGTATTTATATCGATAATGTTTAACTTTAATGAAAACAGAATTTAAAAATTTAAGGACAATTCCACAGATCATTGATTTTGCCGTACGAAATGACCATAGGTTATTTAATTGCTTTCATTTTGTAAAAAAAAAATGAAGGAATGGATTTTTTCAGATGAACATGTTGCATTTGGATATTTTTCTCTTTATAAATGATCAATGTAAAAAAAACACACACACAAAATAAGGGAGATTTTCGCAAAGCACACGCAAAATCATTTTTCCCAATTTTTTTCAGATATTGCACGAAAGCTCATAAATTGTAACTAATATAAGCATATCGGAAATTCAGAAGAAACCAATGCAAATAAAAAAAAAACTGTTTTAATCTATATTCAGTTGAAGTCTGTGTAAGATTTGCCTAAAAATTAAAATTGCCTAATAATATGCAATGGAAATAAACATCCCAATTTAGCACTAGGAACTCGATTTAAATGTTATTGTCATATCTCCAATTGATCCTTTATCAAATCTGCGTAGTTTTTGAAATTTTATTCAAATTCTCAAAAAAAAGGGGATTTGAAGAGAAAAATATTTGTATAAATTATTAAGGGTGGTTTCAGAGAAGTAGAATTTTGAACATCAAATAAGATTTACAGTCTCTTTATATTCCAGAATTTTTTTTACATCATTTTCAATGAAATAAGACCAGAAAATATATACCAATCAAGGCATCCATTTTTTGTTGGTATCATTTCTCCATAAGATATTTTTTTCAACTTACATTAACAACCCTTCCCCATTTACTATATTCCGTCCAACTCCATTTCAAGGCGATATATAAAAATATGGTTGTTTACAAATTCCATAATGAAAAATGTGCAATTTACACAAGGGTCACATGTACCTGATAAACATGTTTTCCAACGAGAATAATTTCCAGGTCCCCATGAAAAGTCTGAAAAAAATTGTTTTAATTAACCAGGTAAAATATCCATAATTACTGCACACTACCTATGATATAGAGAAAATAATATATGCTTATATTGATCCGTATCAGATCCGTAGTTGCAAATCAGCACCGCAAGACTGATATGGCTTTTGTGAGATCAAGGATATGCTTGGTGTATTCAAAATTTCTGTATTTACTTTTAAGTATGTAAATTAAAATTTTAAAAATTAATAAATATGTTTCTTTTCTAACGATTTAGACGAAGGCCGATATCGTCCGTCGCGCACGAAAAAAAATCAGAATAATATTTATCCCGCTTTTAAATCAGGAAAATCCGAATTAAATTCTGACATCATGTAAAATTTTCATAGAAATAGCATTAGAAATAGACGCTATGCTATATGATTTTCACCGGTCACGGTAGCTTAGTTGTAGAGCGTTCGCTTCGTGATCGAGAGGCCCGGGTTCGATTCTCCTTCGCGGTGCCGCGTCATACCTGAGAGGTTAACAATGGTAGTTACTGTTCCTTTGCCAAGCGCTCGGCAATAGAAGTGAAAGTCGCGGGTCTTTCGGATATGACTGTAAAAACGTAGGTTCCGTTTCACGGTAGGCGCTGGCACGATAAAGAACCCTCACTTCTCAATGGCCCTGAGTGCGGAGTATAGGTCTAAATTTGAAGCCCTTCACCGGCATAGGGTGACGTCTCCACATGAGTGAAAAATTCTCGAGAGGGACGTTGAACAATATACAATAATAATAATAATAATAATACATGATTTTCAAAGTGCTTTTGGAGTTGAGTTTGATGAAAACCACGTTGTAAAACACTAAACCGGCGCACGGAGATGTAATGATATGTTTGGATATGGTTTTTATATTTTCTATATTGTTATAGATATTTAAATGAATTTTCATAACATGTCAATTATGTTGGAAAAGAAAGAGAAACTTAAGATGACTTATATGTTGGCACATCTTTTGTATTTTACTACAGAAATCTACTGAAAAGGGAGACTATGCCTCATAGTAATGGAAATTATCCCTACCCAACTGTGTACCATGAAACAAATCTCTTTTACAGGTAATATGCATCATTATTTTAAAAAAAATCATAAAAAATGGGAAAACGTACATGTATATTAACAGACAATAAATTTAAACGATAAACATTTTAGAATCAACTTTCAAGATGTTTTAAATTGTTTGTTATCACAATGATACGTTTAGTTCAATGTACACTGAACACAAGAAAATATTCGAGGATCATTTATCCATATTCAAGAATATTTTAAAATATGTTGTTGTTTATCAAAATTATTTATCAATGAAAATTGCACTAAACAAATATCTCACTGCATATTTGTTATCAGTATCGCAAAAATGGGTTTGAAATGTAGAGTTAGCGTGTATTGTTCTTTATTTATACCCATTGCATTATACGTGTTGTTGTAATAGAGAGATATTTAAATTAGCACGAGACTCACTGACGTATATACCAATGATAATAATACTCTCGTTATATACATGTAACTAAGGAAATTGCATATATATTTATGATCTCATAACTTCGACATATTTGAATTAGCTATATCTTAATATAATATAAAAAACATAAAAGGAAAAACACCCTCTGTATGTATCCAATCCCGACTGCTGTGGAAAACATCGTCAACCCTCCTTATTACAAGAGCTGGAATTCAGAGTAATTACAATGTAAGTATTAACCTTTGGTAGCACTGGTATAAAATTCATTCATCAATAAAAACTACAAATATTTCATGGCTTAATTACCATCTGTATTGCATAAAAAGGATTTAAAATGTATGCAAGAATCTAGAGCTGGCGTGTATAGTTCTTTAATTTATAGTTAAGGAATGAAACGTGTTGTCGAAGTAGAGAGTTTGAGATTTATTGACGTATATGATTTACCATTGATAACAAAGGGAATTATTATCTGTTGCTTTTCTGGTTTCTTTTAATTGTAGTATTTAAAGAAAGTTAAAATTCGCCAAAAAATGATTTAAATACTGTGCCTGGAAAGTTGAATATTATGTATTTACGAAGATCTTTTCATAACCTCGACATTTTCAAATGAGCTATATTTTGATATTAAAAAAAACATAAAAGGATAAGCACCTTCTGTATTTCTGTCTTCTCCATTTAAATCTAAGTTGCATTCTGGGGACATAATCGTTGTTTCTGCATCTGGAATTAAAAAGAAAAGTTACGGAAGCGTAAAGTTGTCCACATTTGTTCTGTAGTACCTTGTGTACTGTCTCATGCTTTATTTCCTCATGAACACATCAAATTAATAGGTCAATAACTCAATTATGTACTTTGAATTAACATAAGATGTTTTTACATACCAGTCTTTTATATAATAACTAATTTTATTGTTGTAAGTTTCATAGACTAAAATTATATTGAATTTAAAACCAAGCTCTGTGATAAACGTGATGACTTTTCTATCGTTATCTTCTCCTACCTATGCAGCAATATACATGTACTTTCATCATACGGAGTAGTTATCTATCTCAGTTAATTTGATACGCAAGAGTATCTTCTTCGTTTAAACGACGTCAGCAAATAAAATTTGTAATTGAATTATATGCTGATTGACATTTATCCTACCAACAGTTAATTCATTATTTTAACACTGAATGTATTGCAGTCATGGTATATTTACGGAAGTTCTTTATGGTCTGATTTTTAAATTGCCTACGTAAAGACAAAGACAATAGTGAGCAGTTTCGTAAAAAAAATTCTCCCATAAAGCATGACATTCGTTGTCAGATACGGCCCGGAATGGTTTCAATCCAACCGTGACATTGATGTTAACGAGAAATAGAGACACCTTACTATCGCGTTATTCGTCCTGCCCCTTGATTAATCGCCACCTTACAACAACATAACCCTCTGATACTACAGTAGAATATCATAATCATTACCTTAGCCCCAACAACTAAAAGAAACCAGTTCTGAAATTTGAGATTTTGAGCCTTGAACTTTACTTTTGTGCTCCTCTACCTAGAGTATACTCGCGTCGTTTGACTAATTTTTTCGGCATGGCCAATATAGCGAGATTAATACCCTGATGGATTACATAGGAGAATTAAGGTTGTGACAGATGCGCGGAAAAAGAACATTAAAGATAATGAGGATTTTGGGGGGTATCGTCTTAAGAGTTTCAAAAATTCATAAATTTTAAGAAAAAATCAATTGAGATATGGTTTACATTTTTCTTTAAAGATGATTTTAAATGTAATCTATAAATATTGAAGATAAAAACAAGAAAAATAAATTTAATTGGCTCAAAACTTTACACTGCTTTTCTTTTCTTTCCTTTCAGAATACTTATATGTATTCATCTTGATCTAATTCGATTTATGTTGTCACATGTTACATGTTGTTCTAGTAGTTCTAGTAGAGTCTTTAATGTTAGCATGATGAGACTCTTTGACATATAAACCATTGAGAACAACGTTAACTTTTTTTGTTGCCCTTTTTTTTTCACTTTGTATTTAACAAATTAGGTGAATATTGACCTTCAAATGAATTAGATTCTGGTGTTTCAGTTTTCAATAACATAAAATATGAAAAATACCGGTACCTTCTGAACTTCTGTCTTTTCCGTTTAATTTAAAGTCGCATACTGGGTAGATAAAAGATGTTTCCTCATCTGAAATTATAGAACTTGTGTTCATTTTAAGACTAAAGCCTGAACTATCAGGAGCATTTGCCCAGACACATGTACATGTATGAATGATGTGATGAAAATTTACAGATCTTTCAAATCATGTCAACAATACATGTAGCCATTGCATAAAACGAAAATCAAAAACAAACCTGAGACTAAATCATTTAGTCCTTTCCTTTGAATATATATCGAAGGGGGGCGACTATAGTTTCCATTGCGCAATATTTCGCGCATCATAGTAAAATAAAGCGTATTTACTCTTTTAATGCAACTTTTTTCGCTTAATTATTAAAATGAAGCAAAAATAAGAAATTATAGGTTTAAAAATAGAATTACAATTTGATATAACTGATTTTTTAACCGATGTTTGAAATGATAGCTAGGCTGACGTCGTTACAGTGTTTCTTTTTCTTTTTTGACGTTATGATAATCTGTAGCTCTCAAAGAAAGGGGTAATAAAAATATTATTTAAGGAAAAAGTAATAAACATAAACATGGAAATTTGAGAATATCTCCAATATTTTTATGATGTTTTCACGTGAAACCATTGTGTACAACTACATTATACGTCATATTTTGTGATACTCTATAAAAATAGTAAAATTTGCTATTTTTGGCATTTTGAGATGCCCCCTCTGGTAACAAGACGGTAGAATTTTGTGTCTCTTACATATATTGTATAATTTAGTATTACTCATCAAATATCATAGGTTGAACAAAATTTCTATTGTAGTATTTGTATAATTTGCTTTAAAATTGCCTTAAAAACAAATAAATATTATAGAAATTAACAAACACACTTACCATCCATATTCACTCCATTTTCGTTGTTTTTCTTTTTCTTGAAGCAGAGATACAAAAACAGAATGGTAAAAATTGCAAATACCACACCTATGACTGTGACAGTAATACTGACTATGGATCCTTCAGTAATTTGGCCATTTCCTGAATCTTCAGTATACCTAGAATGGTTAGAAGCTGCGGGAACGTAACTGAGTGATTGGTTTGTGCTGAAGAACGTTACGTTTCTGGTGGCCATCTTTGGTTCTATGTTTAAAGACACATTAAGAAAGAAACCATTAATATCATGAAGTTACATGTAACAAACAGTAAAAGGTAACAAGAAATCTGAAGAAAAATGTGATGAGGTCAGTTAGAAATCCCTTTCAGCAAATATTAATTAATATAAGCCTTGGTATTGACCATATAGATTTCCAATTAAGGTTTTTCGCACATATTAAGATAAATACTTCTTTCAATTGGGAAATCTTATAGTATTCAAGATCAAAAGTGCATAAAACAATACAAAATAGGATAAGAGCAAAAACAGACCTCCAAAATACCATAGGTTGGATCAGGTGGTATGGAGGATTGAGCATCCCCTGCCGACCTGTCATACCCCCGTGTGATCCTTGTCATTATCGGGAAATCCGTCGTCAATTCAGTTTAAGATGGATTGAAAATCGATATGAAAAACCTCATGCAGCATTAGACTCAATGATTAATTGAATTTGTTTACAATGTCAGTGTATAAACCATCTATATTAGGCAATAATGACTTTAAATGTTCTTGTTTAATCAACTTGTTTGTCAGTTATTTCAATCGTTTCAGAAACTGTTCTTACGTAGAACATGATATTGCATATTGAATTAACTAAGATATATTTTTGTCAGTGAAATCTTATTAAACTCTAAAGAAATATATCTATAGTCTTACTCATCAATATAATGAAAGATAAGGCTTTATGCTATAAATGATATTGATCGAAATACAGTTTTCGAGTATTTGTTTCATATAAAACAAAATAAAAACGTAGTCATTTTTTTCCGCCACCATGTTGAATTTTGCACTTAAAATTTTAGCTCTTAACAAAGAAGGGCTACGGGAACATATTCCATTTCATATTTAAGCGTGCAAATATTATCTTTTTTCAGTCTGCATAAAGAAATACAAAAACAAAAACAAAGGTTACTTGCGTTGTGGCCCCCTTTGCATCTTAAATAGCTATTCAACACAAGTAAAAATAACACCCCTTTCTACTTTTATGTTTCAGTCTATCTGCCATTTTTCTTTCAAATTTACTCATTAAAATGTATGACAGTGAACTTTATACAAAAACAAAACATGCCGGAAGTTTACAGCTTAAGTCTACCGGCAAAAGTATGGTATTGAAACTATCTAGTATACACTATTTGTTACACTTGACGAAGGGGCGTATTTAAAGAAAATTAATCTTTGTACAGTATCAAAGAACCCACCATATACGGCTTAGTCATATTATAGCATCGTGACTCAGACTCCTTGAGTGCAAATTTTCTTAATACGAAAACATGTTTAAATGTACAAAAAATAAACCAATTTCATAATATTTTTTTTCATTGCTGTATATTTATAAATGAAATCTCATAAAATCATAGAATCCATCGTTAGATTTTACCTTTTATAGACTATAAGTCCGTGTACTGGCTTTGCCTTCAATTAATCTTCAGAAATACTTGCTACGATCTACAGTCTGTGACACGATCTGTCTACTTTAACACAATCTTTTTTAAAGGGCACACAAATTTCAGAATACACTAAAAATATTTTTGAATGAACGTTTAAAGGTGAAAGTCAGTGAAGCAAAGGTGCTTAAAAAGCACATTTGAAGCGTCAATTTCATAACGAATAAAGGGTTTCATTATCTCTTTTAATTACCAGATAACCATAATAAAAGAATTCCCTTTTGAGTTAACCCTGAAAGTCAATTTATTAAAATGTTTAAAATGTCATGCCCAAGTAGATAGTCATTTTTCTTTTTTTTAAATGAATTATTGATTGAGTGTTTTGTCACTACATACCAGCGGAGTTTCAATTTGATAATTACCATTGTTAAAGAAGACATAAAATTACTTAAATAAAAAAAGAACCTAATAAAAAGTTTAAAAGATATAAAAGACTTATAAGAAAAAAAAATTGCCAGTGTGTACGCAGTCTGTACTTATATAA